AGAGAGAGAGAGAGAGAGAGAGAGAGAGAGAGAGAGAGAGAGAGAGAGAGAGAGAGAGAGAGAGGGCCAGAGAGAGGGCCAGAGACAAGATGCAAAGGTAGGATGTGAAGGGCGTGCACAGAATAGTAGGAGAGGTGTTGATTTTCTTGACATGACAAAAGAAATGAGGCAAAACTTCAAAGGCAACATTTAAGAAGATGGCTATAAAGTGGGACATATCTACCTCAGCATCATTGGCAGACAGTAACTCCCTTTCCAAAGAACGGTTTTTTTCTTGAATCTCTTGGCCATCCTCATCAAGAACAACAGCTCCAGTCCTCCTCCCTGTTCCAAGCAGAGTTCCGCCTTGTCAGTTCCGCCCCCCAGGTCCCACCTTCCCCCCACTACCTTTCTAGTGTTAACCATTCCAAGGTGAGGTGTACATAGTCTCTCACCGAATGCGGTCCCACCTTCCCACTACCTTTCTCTCACCGAATGCGGTCCCGCCTTCCCACTACCTTTCTAGTGTTAACACTGCCTCAATACCCTTCCGAGAGTTCCGAAAGTTCTCTTGAAAATTGACGTTAACGTTTTACCTATCTCAGTGCTGCTTGTTGTGGTAGTGTGTTTGAGCCCAACCATGGATGGCTCGACTCCAGAAGAGCAGAATGGGTTTTGCTACTTATGCAGTGGTGTCGTCTAGACTCTAGAACACGCCGCCCGCATTGTTAACACCTACCATGGTCCAAAATCATCCCAGGTCGTGATGTGATGTGGTTGCCGACATGTCGCATAGCAGTGTGTTTGCTAACATCCCGCGTTGTGATAGAAAAGAGAAAACGCGAGCTTTCTAAACTACTTGGGCAATGAGTAGAGAGTGTGAAACCTACCATCAGGTCTGAAACCATCACGGCTCTGCCGCTGAGCTCTTATGTATGATAAGAACGTTGGGATGCAGTAACGCTGGAACCAATCCCCACCAACCACCACGAGCTGGATAAGCAAGAACATGCCCAAGACGCTGTACCTGTAGGACCAGGACGACGGAGAGTGAGCAGACACGTACAGTGCAAGCACAGCAGCGGTGCATCCATCACAACAGAGTGCTGGTTGGTAGACAAGCTGAAAGTTTGAAACTGCTGAATGACGACAACAAAAACAATGCAATAAGCAATTGCCTGGATAAAAATGGAAGGAAAACAGCATGGATTACCAAAGGGTGTGGTGCAGTTGATACACCCGTGAACTGTTGAAATATGAATCAGACGCAAGTTCGGATCCAGATGCAATCGGATGAACAGAATACATAATCATGGATTCATTTTCCTTTGTAATTATTTTCAACAAGAAAAACTCTGATTTGTAGCGATCCTCCTTATACGTGAATTGGAATGCACTGACGATTTCTCAGGCTGGGTGGGAGGAGGATGAAGATGTTTTTTTTTTTTTTTTGAAGTGTGCCATCCTTGCGCAGGGCCATGGCCGCCATACTTATCTTCTACGGATCGTTTCAAATTGAATGGATGCCCCACTGGGTGGGAGGAGAATGAAGATCTAAAGAGTCAATCAAATGAATATGGGCAAATCAAAGTGTGAAGTTGTGAACAGTGAAAGTCTATTACAATTCTGCCCACCTGTGCATTGTCTTTCTGAATTTTAAATTAGGGGAGTTAAATAGTACGCACTGAGTACTAACATCTTCCTTTGAATAAAACACAACAGCATCATTGTTGTATCATGGCACTAGAACTCGTTTTAATACGGCCATGATGGCCATGCGTACCAGTCACAGTTGTGGCACACTTCCTGCATGTACGGCACACAGCGCACATGTACCCACGAGCGTGCACGTGGTGCGCCGCACTGCTGAAGAGGGTCGGCAGAAAACTGGGGGAGGGGTGGAGTGTGATGGAAGTCCCCGTGCCTTAGAAAAATATAAATGGAGGGGGAAAACAAATTGGGGTGATGGTCAACAGAGGCCCCAAAAAGTGTGTGTGTGTGTGTGTGTGTGTGTGTGTGTGTGTGTGTGTGTGTCCGTGTGTCTGTGTGTCTGTGTGTCTGTGTGTGTGTCTGTGTGTCTGTGTGTGTGTCTGTGTGTGTGTGTGTATGCGTGTGTGTTTTAGATTTTCCCCACAACAGCCCCAATTCCACCCAAGTGAATAGATTCAGAATCAATGCAGTCTTTGTCCTATTGCAGACAACGGGAGCATTTGAGATGTCCAACATATTACAGCAATTTTATAATTGGACAGTTTTTTGGTTGTCCTTAAGGTACCCCTTTCATTGTTCTTGCAGCTCCCCTTTTACTGTGCCTCTTACGCACAAGGCTGCCCACATTGATTGTGGTTGAGCGGCAGCTGCCCACATCCCCGTGTGCCTTCACGGCCCACGTGCACGTTATTTCAGGAGGCAGAGTAAAAGGGAAGGTATGCTCCTGTGCATCTCTTCAGAGCTTCATACTCCTGTTCATTTCACTTCAGATCTTCCCCTTATAAAGTCTTTGTGTCCGTCCTTCATCTTCATACTTCCGTTCATTTCATTTCTGATCTTCATATCGTCTATACTCTTAATGATGCTCATTGGTATGTATTTGTTAGTAGTACAAGGGGAGTGGAGGGGAGGGTGGAGGGTAAGGGGTAGAAGGCGGAGTTCTCTAGGAGTATGGGGCAGGGGAGGTAAGGGCAACGGGACGGCAGGATAGAGTATGACATGCAAAGAGCAGGGGAAAGGTGTATGACGGGTTTCACAGATTTCTAAATATTCACCGCTGAAGCAGACTTCTAAAAAAAAAAAATTATGGCGAGTGGCCACCTCTACAGACCGTGCAGGACCGGTTCGGGTGTGGGCTATGGAAGCAGCGCATCCAATTTTCGCAGTCACAGTTGCTGCATCGAATGGCACGGCGCAGACAGCTGTCACAGGCTACCTGGCTCGTACATGCTAGGAACTTAGAGGCACGTCGACCGCAGTTATAGAGGCATTGCTGTTCCAGCCCCTGTCTACACATTGGAGATGACATGTCGGGTGCCGTACATGAGTACAGTACTGACTGTCATCGTACGTATGGAAGCAAAAACTCGCATGGACTATACCTTCATAATCCTCAAGGCACAAGGCATGTGAACCACATGCTAGTTGAAACTCCGGCGGTTCATCACAAAACGGCATGGAGCATCTTTCTTGGGCTTCCTCAGTATGTATTCCTTGTCTATGGGCAGAAGACGACACGGAAGATCGGTTCAACGCAAGGGCATTCAGCTGCTGCAGGATATGATCCGCAACAGCTCGCCCTGGTGGTGATAAACTATGAGCACATCGCTCTGCCGGTGGTTCATATAGAAGTCTATTTTCCTCCTCAGACTGCTGTGTTTGTCGTTCGTCTGGCATGAAAGAGGGAGATCCGTCAGCGTACGCCTGGACTCCCTCTGCGTAGTCCTCAACACACATAGTGCGGTTGTCTGCGAGGACACTAACTATGGGGTCTTCCAACTTTTGGACTTTCAATCCTAGCCTTAGCTTCTTCAATGCTCTATGGCTAATATAACTGCGAGTAGCCCCTGAATCTATAAGGGCGCCCACTCTACTTCTAAAGACCTCTACATCAACTAAAACCAGTTGTCCCTTGCTAACTTCTTCATTTTGGCCCAGGCAGGCATCCTCCCCTTCAATTCTTCTGCCACGCCTGTGAGGGAAGTGCCTAGAGAGACGCTAACACAAGCAGTCTGACAGCTAGCTAGGCACTGGCCTTCAACCTCTGCCGAAGGCGCATATGTGGTGTGGGAGTTTCCTGGTTGTGCGCGCACACTTCCCCACATGGCCTTGTAGTAGGGGCAGTTGCGACCCCTACTGGTGGCTGCCTTTTGACCCCTGGGCAGCGAATCGGGCTTCCCTATACTTTGGACAATATTTAATAATATGGGCAGGGTCACCGCAGTAGATGCACTGCCCC